TCTAGTCCTTAATCGCGGAAACATATTGTTTACCATGTTTACTGAAGCACAGTAATATCACTCCTCCCACGCAACATGTGGCCGAAGTACCGAAATCATGATCACCAATCACGTAATGTATCTTATCTTCCACTAAGACTACGGGATCTAAATCCCATAAGAAACTTTCCTTTCTTAAGACAAGACTGAGAAAAAAGTAGACTTCCTGACAGAACTTACAACCCTGAATGTATAGCTTAGAGCAAGAGGAGGAGCCCGGGGGGGGCACTTGGGTATCATTTGGGTGGGTATGTGGGTCCCCTAAAATTGATACCCCGTTCTAGAAATGGGCCCATTTTTTATACCCCGTTCTAGAATTCGCCCTAAAACTGATACCCCGTTCTAGAAATGGGCCAATTTTTTATACTCCGTCCTAGAAAGTTTCTAAATTGAAATAGCCCTGTTTTTTAAAAAGATATTTCTTTATTTGTTAGACTTATACATCAAATAAATGCTTCTTCATAATCAGCAACAATTTTAAGCAGAAGATAAAGCCATGATCCACAATTTTTTATACCCCGTTCTAGAAAACGCCTCTGAAATGGATACCCCGTTCTAAATCAGGAGCTTCAAAATGACGACCCCGTTGGGCGGCACATACCCGTATAGGTAATGTATGGGAGTACCCCCCCCCCCCCTCCCTGGGAGGAGGAGCCCCAAGGTATCGATTCCTTCGCTTATTTGTTTATCAAGAAGATCAGGCTAATTACCGGGGCCCAGCCGAAGGCTGGCACCGGTCTTAAAATGCAGACCGTCCGTTTTTTCAACGTTACATTGTTAGGGATATATCGCTGACTGAGATATATCGCTGGCTCATTGAAATCTTATCCGCCATTTTGAAAAGAAGAGGCATGGAGGACAGTCAAGAGAAAGATTATAGCTTTTTTGGGGAACGACACGTTCCCCCAACCCAACTAGTTTATGAGCGAAAATTTAAGAGTGAATATTTGGAGAGACAAATTTACGAGCGATCACTTCTGAGACTGAACCTTCCATCGTGAAACTTATCGAGAAATTGAGTGAACCTTCCATCGTGAAATTTATCGAGAATCAAAGCGAACACTTATCAAAATTTGTCTTCAAAAAGATTTCAATGATTGACATACCGAAGACTTCAAAGCTCCATCGCTATGTTAATAAGGTGAGAAAACTTTATCATGCACGATATAAATGTAATAACAAACGCGATCCAAAGATAATTAACTTAAATAAAATGGCTATACCCAAGAAAGCTTATTTGTTGTCTTTCTTTAGCAGGCATTATCACAGGATAATGAAACTAAAAATAATGTAAAGCACGTCGATCTTTATCATTGTTTTCTTGCAATTGTGTGAGTCATATGACCAATTATGTGAATTTCAAACTAAGTAAAGATGTTGAGAAGAATCCAGGACCTACTCAATACAACACTGATCATCATGAAGTAATAATTAGACCTTCTATGCAAAATCACAGCTCAACATTGGTTGAGGTCACACTAGAGACTTTACTATGGTAAAAAGGGCTTTACTATGGTAAGTCTCGCAACGTCTTCTTTACCGTAGTAAACCTGACAGGTCCACTTAAAAAGGCATTTGAAACTTTCCAGGCGTTTTTTTCTCGCGTGATCGGTAACGTGAGAGTGAAAAGTAAAACAAATGATGACCTGCTATGAGAGCTGACTAAATTGAAATTACTGAACTGTAACTTCCTGAGCGTGACCCTCACAAGTGTACAAAGATGCTTCAATGTGAGAGAGTATTGTTTTCTGTTGTGAGCATTTTGCTTTTTAATTCTGCTGCTCAGACGAGCAAGAAGAATGCGCTCCCTTATTACCTACCTTGGTTTCGAATACGAAGTTAGTGAAGATGTTTTAGTGACAGGTTTATTGATTACTCATCGAAGACGTATTCTTGGAGAAAGAGCGGCATTGCGAAGGCAAGCGTGGGTTTAACCTCGACCCCAGGAATGGTTTGAAGAAATGTACAGAAACAGAAACCTTCAAGCACTGTGGAAAAAGCAATCACCGATGTTCTAAAGCTATTCTGTTATGTGACCCTTTTTGAAACTACTTTCCTCAAAAATCATGACAAACTGTCAACAAAACAAACAAAGTTTAGATAGACTAAAGATATACCCACCTATCTTTTTTGGTAACCAGATGGTTATCGGTGATGGGTCATCTTTGTTCTTTCCGCGGTAGTCATGGAAATTAACCAGGGTAGAGTTTACCATTGTAAACTGAAAAATGCCGGTCACACTTACGGCGCCGTTTACTATGGTAAACTTGAGTTTACTATAGTAAACTTTCTCTAGTGTGACCTCAACCAATGCAGTTGAACTCTCCTATTTCCTCTGAGAATTTGATGCAGTCAAGATTAGGTGCACTTTGTTTACAATCAATAGATGTTGGCGGTGCAGGTGATTGTTTCTTTAGATCTGTATCACATCAATTATATGGCAAAAGCAACCATCACATGCATATACGTACTGCTGGGGTTCAATTTATGAGAGACAATCCTGAGAGATTTATTGAGAGCAATACCGAAAATTCATGGATAAGATACCTGAATAATATGTGTATTCAAGGTACATGGGCTGATGCACTTATCATTCAAGCAGTTGTAGATATACTACTGTTTACCCAGTTCAGGAAAGAAATACTTCCTCTACAATAATTACTATAGGCCATATTGATGAATGCCACTATGTATCAACCACTGCCTTACAATCAAGTGCCTCCATTTCAATGTGCAATGAATTAACAAATGATACTCAGTCATCAATAGATAAGCATTTTATTATGTCTGTATATAACACTGGATGACATTTTTTACAGTGCAAGACAACAATCCATGACCACAAAGATCTATTTCAAAAATGTCTTATGTCTGTTATCTTTTCAAATTCACAGTGTTTTCGCAAAAAATAGATAAATGTGATTAATAAATCTCAATGATAAACCTGATGATAACGTACTTGAGAAAATGTGAAATTGTGATAATTCTGTAACAAACTTCTTTGCAAACTTTGTCATTACCATTCAACCCAAAACTGTCAGTGATTTTTGCTTTTTCACTCAAACTTAAAAACAAATGAAAACCTTATACAGATCACACTTATTGACATCACAGTGTTACTAAAAACACTACTATAACACAGACCGTTAGCTCTCATAACACTGAACAAACTTACAACAACATCCTCCTTTCTCATGCATTTTGTTGCTTTTCTTCTGCATGAGTTAATTCAGACTAAGTATTAGCCTCCACAGAGGAGGGGGGAGGGGTGCGAGAGGTAAACTATATCTATGCAATCCCGTATCCCACTGGGCCCCGGTAAGTTCCACGTAGTGGTTCTAGTTTAAGGATGTATACAAGAAGACCTACAACACAAGTCACTGAGTTGATAAGAGTATTTTTTTTTTTGGCCTTAATTTCCGGCTCCTGCAGTGATCGTTGATTCGAACAGAGAGATGCCTGTAGTTACATTTAATTCTCACACATACTGATCAGTCGCCGTTTCTATTGAATTATAATTGTTTTTTTCACTGTTATTTGCTCTCAGCCTCCTTTTTTTATGTGCTTCATACATCAGTTCTCGTGTTTTGTTATTACTTTTGACATTGGCTCTTTCCAATTGACAAGGTCATGGCTTAACCAATCAATGAGCTTCTTCACCAGAGGATCCGAAGCCAAACTCCTGAGATCTATCGACCCCTTTTAGTCCTTTTATTAAAACTGAATAAACATTACCTCAGGAAGACACTGCTTTGGTTAAAATAAGTCAAGATTTCACCTATAGTGTATTACATTTGTAAGGCTAGAGCTAAAACAGCGACTACCATTCAAAAACCGTTTTAAAAATACTAAAATGTAGTACAAGATGAAAGTGGCGGTCAAAAGCCACTCTTGATGAATCGAGAATTGCATTACAAAGCATATTGACCGGAGGAGGGAATTTTTAATTGCCATAACAAATCTAAACGGGTTCATTATCACTACTGAATACTCTTGAAAGCGGAAAAATGTGCAGCTGCTGGGAATAATTGCATTAGCCCATACTAAGCCTAGGACGTGATCAAAACCCTTCATGTCAATTGTAAATGAATGCCGAATTTTCTGGCATTTTGTAAGGTCAACGCCTAAATACTGTTTGCCCTTATATTTAGAAACATATGTAATGAACCGAGCTATTTTGTACACGAAGTGGCTGTGAAAATGTTTCCTCGCTTCGGGAATTACTTTCAGATAATGGAGCTTAATGTTTTAAGTACTTAGCTTAATACACGTGATTAGGTAGTCCGTGAAAAATAGCAATAAAAGCAAGTATCTTATAGCCACACATATCGAAAACGTTTCAGTCTTATCCTAAACTCGAGCTGGCCGTAATGGATATCTTATAAATGTATCCAATAGCAATACAATCACTAACTTCAAAAAATATTGTCTATATTCTTCGTTCTTGAGACTTCCGCTTTATTTTAATTTTGCTTAAAAATCAAATAATACAGAATACATAGGCATTTTTAACGAGCTTTTTCAGCTCCTCGATGTAACGTGTTAAAATAAATGTCTGTTGGTTGATACACAGGTGACCCTAGCTTCAGGAGTTTATTTTAGATCTGTCATGTCACCAAGTATTGGAAGCGTGCCCCTTTTGATCATCGAATTAACCCCATGTGACTAGTGTGGAAGTACTCGTACCCGCGTACGTGCAATGCACCCAAACAATACCATTGTATACAAATATGGATTTAACGGGTCTTAAAGCCACGTGAATGAAGGCACGCGATGCTAACTCTGAACTAACAGAATACCGCGCAACCATTTTCAAGGGAACGACGCATTAAGCAAGACATTGTTAGTCTATCTTTGCTTTCGAAGTAGTGTGGATTTCATTTGTTTTTGCACCGGCTCAGGGTGAATGAATTTCTAATCGTGTACTTACTTTTTATTTTGGTTGTTTTGGCAGTTGAGCAATGGAGGTGTGGAGATATTTGCTGTTATCGGCAGCAATACTACTATTTAATGAAAATTTCTACTCTTACTCGAGTCCAGTAAACGTTAACAGGCTTTCAGGTAATAATATATACATGTAGTGAAGATTTAATACTTTACTCCCCTCTTGAGTTTGTAGGTCTTAGGAAGGGTATTTGTTTTGGCACTCAAAGTCTGGAAGAGGCTTGAACAATTTTGTTTTGAAGTTTAAGTCTGATTTTCACATTTGTATTTCGTTAAACACGAGGAACTTGAGGTTTCATATTTTGTTTTAGAAATATTTTTATGTGTTATCTTTTTCTTATCAGGAACATCTGTCATATCTCAACCTTTAGACCATGGACAGGACTTTACTGTGATGGACTGGATCAATGAGGCCAACAAACGTAAGAGGAAACTAAAAACTTTGTTTAAAAATTACTTGTCGAAATTATTCCTTTCTTTTGTTCACAGCAGACATCAAAACCACGGCGACAAAACAACTTGAACCCTTGGTTATCTGATCTTTACTAGAAGATGAAACTGACAAATACGTGATAAAGCACCCCTCCTTTAAAACCGGTCCTGGAGGCCGATTAAACAGACAGCTTTAGTAGATGCAAAGAGCCTAAGTAATAAGTGTTTTTAAGAACTATCCTGCGATCATGGTCTTCCTGTATCTGGTCTCGATATCGTTCCCTTTCTTCTCAAAAGGAATAATAAGATAAAAAATAAATGAATGAATGAAAAAACGATGTTAAGAAAAAGGATGCGTGAGCAAATTTTATAAGTAAGTGAATATTTATACTCTGAATGTCGGTTAATAAATGGCGATCATCACCGCAGTGATCGGCTACGGAAGGAAGTAACACAAATTTGAAAGTCGCAGCATCATTACAAAACCCACGCATATTTTCATGTTCCACGCTGCGTCGAATTTCGCCTAAATCACGCGATCCGCCTTCTGACCTACGAAAAGCTACACAAGCAGAAGCAAAGTCACACAACTGGAAACACAAAATATCTTAAGAGACTTAAAACACTGTATTTCATCTATCGTTAACACCAAATACAGGGCAAGTATTTACACGACTATTCAGGGTAGGATTTGACGCTGGGAAGAGTTCAATGCGTTAATGAGGTGGAGACAGTCGGCCAAACAACACTTCACTTATAATTCTATTAACTGACCACAAAAAGAAGACTTGTTTATCCGTCTGTACAGCTTTGTTGCCTTCACTACTGAAAGGAAGTCTTTCTGTACACGTACCATCAGTGGAATAAAAACGTGTCCAGATACCGGACCATTACTGCAGTGCTCAAACGGACTGAAAGAAGATAGATCTATAGATCTATAACGCACAATTCTGTCAAGGAGAAGTTGAAAAACTTCAAGCAGCACTTCTTCTCAGAATGTGTCCTCCGCCCAACAATTACAAAAGTGCACAGAACAGCAGGAATGTCACTGTGCCACTTAAGGGTGTTTCCCGCTTCCACCACCATCTATCCATCTGGCGAGATTACGCTGATTGTGATTGAGATCTCCTTGCTAAGCCTAGATGATCACGTTTTTCCTTTGAATTCGAAGAGAACGCTAAAGAACCCACTCCTCTATTGAAAGAACACCTGGCGTAAACCCATGTTTTGGCGGACCCTATGCCATGCATTAGCCCACTTGATGTAATCAACTTATAGCCCATAGTTTTAGGAGGCCTAATCATTAAAAAGTTACTTTCTTTGAGATTCTCCTCGCCACTTTCTCGTTTTTTAAGAAATTTTTACACTGCGAGCTGTATTGTAACTTCTGCAAGTGGCCAATAAGTTTATATAATTAAACAGTCCGGGCCATACAACCATTTCTGGTTACAGATTTCGTGCGTTGAGATTGGTGGAAGTCAAAACCAAAACAAAGTAAATTTGGCCGAGAGATACTGGAAATGATTAGAAGTGCGACAATTTTTTTTTATGGCGGCCGTTTGTTATGCGGCAATCGGCCGAAACAAAATATTATTTATTTCTTATATTTAACACTGCACCCCAGGCACTGCACGGAAAGATAGCATAGAGGTCAATAAATAAATGTGGTGTCACATATCCGCGTATATTCAGATGCCATCGGATGTGCGTAGGGGTGGTCTGTGTTTCATTTCACTGCAGATTAACTAGCATTAGAATTAACTAAATCAGTGGATGGTAATTTTTGCACGCTTTGTTTTTCGATATAAATGTGTTAACCAACTCTTAAATGTCCTTTCTTCTCCAGTAACTCGAAAGATCCTTGGTTATTCAATGTTTTGGGGTCGGGAGTCAAAATGTCGTCTCGTTTTCGCGACAATTTCTGCGAGCACCAACATTTAGCGATAACGGAAGCAACCTTACCAACAAATACCAAAACATCGACATAATTTGGATTGACGATTCTTATTTTTAGTATAGAATTATTTTCTCACCAAATTTGCAATAAAATCATTATAATGCACTAGATAAAAGCCCTGAAACCTTGTCAATTAAAACGTGAGCAAAGCTATTACTAAGTGACGTCTTTTAGTTTTATTGAATTTTATTAGTTCTGATACTTTTTAGAGCTTTCATAGTGTCGTCTAACCGAACATCCGAACAATGCCGTATCAAACCTCTAATTTAAAACTCCTTGTAATGCTTTGTTTGCCAGCATATAGCATGGAAGGGGATATAGCTCTAACAGAAAGGGATGGAAATGTGTATGAGAAAATACGCTTTAGGAGGAGTGCTGTCCGACAAAGAAAGAAGTTATGGCCCAACAGAGTGGTGCCCTACGAGATCGAGGAGGCACTTGGTAAGTTAAATTTCATCGCTCGACATCGCAGTGTTTACTTTGTAACACACACACAAAAAAAAAAAACAATAAAAAAAACTAAAGGAGTTGCTTTAAGAAAATATTTAGCCTGATATCGATAGCGCTGCACACTACTCCACCACCCGAGCTATCAAGCCTCCTGGGAGCATGGAACCGTTGTTTAATGATGGGTGTTGCATAGACTAGAAATATACTACGAACGGTAATAAATACTCTTGTGTTTCAGCTTCACATAAAAAGAACATCTTGGCAGCCATAGATGAATTTCACAAACACACTTGTATCAGATTCAAGGAGAGAAAAAACGAAAAGTACTGGATCAAATTTAGCAAAGGCAAAGGGTGAGCATAGCTTAATATACCTGCGTATGCTACAGGCACGTGTGTCTTCTAGAGGAAGTGATTAATATAAAATCTATTTGTGATAGACACCCACGCAAAGTGGACACCTCAACAAGAGGCAGCCGCACGATGGTCATAGAATTCTAAGGCTGTCATCCAGTAAAGTGAATTTGCTATAAAGGGGAATGACCTTTCTGTGCAGGCGGACATCTGCGAATGACCTAATCCCATCGAGCTTCACTCACGTGGCTTGTTTCTAAGGTGGCTAATTTAGTTAGTTTAGCTATTTTCTGATGTTTTCCGTCGTTCGCAAATCAGACTATTCTACTGCTCAGCTCAGCACAAATCATCCGCCATAATGTGCAACCTTGACTTAAATCTGTTGGTATTTTCCCAGATGTTGGTCATACATAGGACGCTTATACTGGCGGAGGGGTGCCCAGGAACTCTCTTTAGGTCGGAGATGTAACAAAAAAGGAATAATCATGCATGAGCTAATGCATGCCGTAGGTTTCTGGCACGAGCAGTCGCGGCCGGACAGAGATCAGTACGTTGAGATCCTTTGGGAAAACATTGAAAAAGGTAGGACAGCGCTCATTGTTAACAGCGAGAAAACGCTTTGGGTTTTGGAGGCTTTCCAGCCAAAGAGTTCTCCTCCACTTCTTTTCCTGCCGTTAATAAAATACGAATGTTTCTTTAGCCCTTAATTTCTTCGGTGCGTCGAGTTCATATTAAAGTTCGGAGAAATTCATAATTAATACCCAAGTCCTTCTGATTCAAAATTTGCACTAAAAGCATTTCACATGTACTGGAAATATCACTCGAAAAGATCATTTCCTAGGCAGGTGCTTATAAGATATGTTTTTATTCACAGGAATGGAAGGACAATTCAACAAGTACAAACATTCTAAAGTAGATAGCATTGGTTTTGATTACGACTATAGTAGTCTGATGCATTATGGGAAGGTCACATTTTCAAGGAATGGCAAGCCTACGATCCGAGCGTTGAACAACCCATATATGTCCCTTGGGCGAGGAGGTGGCTTTAGTGAACTTGACATCAAGAAAATGAACGCTCTTTATGACTGCAAAAGTAAGTTCTTAATAAAGATTAGAAGTACCGCTGTTACTTATTGAGTAAATTTTCTTTGCTGACCATGCGTCCAGCTGAAGCTGAAACAAACTGGTAATTCCTTACGAAATTCAATCAGAAGATACTATTCACTTCGGGAGTATGCAGCCGGGGGGGGACGGGGGGAGGATTATGATTTTCTACGTCAGAGGTGTGGTAATTCCATGCATCCAATAATTGGACAATCTAACGTCTTTTAACAGATGAACAGGAGTTAGGATGGAGTGAGTGGTCAGCATACACTCCCTGTAACAGCAGATGTATGAAGTATCGTCAGCGAGTATGTTTCTCGCCGCGGTCGCATTGTCCCGGGGCCGACTCGCATGGAATTCAAACCGACCGCCGAAAATGCAGCCATGACGAATGTTACGGTAGGTCAAACATCCGGGTGTCTTCATACTTACAACAGATGGCTCACTTTAGTGACGATTTATATTCGTTCAGTTTAAACCGGTAAAGTTTCTAACTAATAGTGATAAAGACCGCGGAATACCCTTTCGTGAAGCATCCACTAGCAACACTGCATCGGTTTCCTCGTGCTGGAATAAGCTGTTCATTGCGTGCACTGCTGCCTCACTCCCGGATTTGTGTCCGCGCAAACCTGAAGTGAGCCACTCGACTCTAGTATGTCACGCACTTCCCAATAATTCTTCTGATTACTTCCCCCACTCCTATTGGTCGGACTTTACCGTTACCCTTATCCAGCGGGATAAGACTGACTTGCTAGAATCGGCTCAATAGTCGTCGGATCAATGTATTCTGTGCACAACTGATGGGTCAGAGTTGCAAGAGTGTCGCACAAATTAGACTCAGATTTCGTGAATGACTTGTGATCAAGGATCCTTTGAAATCCATTAGCGTCTACATTTGAGGGATCTCCATCACCTTTAGTTCTTAGTGCTGCTTCTCTAATCATTTCACCAGTGATCTCATTATAAGCTGACTCGTGCACCTCCTCATCTGGACCAAACTGCAGCTTTCCCAGCTTAGCTGGTTTCGCTTTTGGGTGCTTGTCATGCAGTTGCGTCGTGACGTCATCAGTCGGGGATAATTCACCTCCACAGCCATCATCAGTAAAGTATCGTAGGATGGAGTTTATTTGCCTTTCCATGATGAGCTTCGCAGATATCTTTGCTTTGTGCAGAGGATCTTTTTTTGGGATCTAACTAGGCGTTTTTGGATCGTTCGTCCTTCTCGTAACAGCTCAACAGTGCTAGCCTCTTTGCTTCGCATTCTTGATGATCCTTTGCCTTAAAACTTTTGACTTGGTTTTTGCATCCCTAGAGCCAAAAGAAAAAAAGCTGCTTTCAAAGCTGTATGCTGACTCCCGACCCGTTGTTCCAGTCGTTTATGTGCTTTGTAAGTTGATCAATAAATTCTCTGCCGATTTTCCCGTACGGAACTAAGAAGGTGTTTTTGCTTCGAGGTTATCTCAATATACGCGTTGATGATTTCTGAGTTGACTGTTATCACTTTTCCTTCCGATTGACCGCAAACAATCGATTAAGGCGTGTCCACAGTTGAAAATTCCGCCGGCATGGAGCCTGGCACCTCAGCAAATATGATCTCATTAGCCGTTTCGTCACGCTCTTCGTCTAATTATTCCTCGGAGACTTGAAATTCAAGCTATCATTCGGCGGGAATTTAGCATTTTGGCTTCCTTGCTCTTAATCATTTCGATCATTTTCATCATCAGAAATTGTAATTCTTGTTTGCGACTGAAAGTTCCCTGAGTCGTTTGTCACTCTGGACTCCTCTGGAGTAGTATCCACAGAGCATTTTTGCAATCTTTCGAGTCTTGCGCTCTGATCCCTCAGGTTTTCGGCTTTTATACCAAGATTTTCACAGCCCATTTTGTCCCATAGTCGTTTCATCACTTCAATGTACCCTTTCTTTCTACCATCCTTTTCATGACCCGTCTTTTACAATCCAATACATCTCAATTTATTTGCTCAGTCCATTTTACAGTTTTTACTGCTTTTCTAGACATCGCTCTCTCTCCTCCTCCTCCTCCTCCTGTTAATAACAACAGTTATAATAAATAGACAGGGTATTGTCTTAAACTGATCACGCAGTGAGATTAAAGGGCTAAACGACATCTGAAAGTGGAGCATTATGTTCAGTCGGAATCCTCTTTCACCCGATACAGATTATTTGTAAATGGAAATTTTTGTACTTAGCCACTAACCATGGCTAAATGTCTTATTGTATAAAAAATAATAATGCCTTATTTCCGTCACATTGTAATCCGAGCGCTTGCCTGATTCTGTTTTTAGCGCCAGTCGATGGCAACTGGGGACGATGGGCTGCATGGAATGCCTGTGACAAGTCCTGTGGTTACGGCAAACAGAAAAGAAAGAGAACATGCAGTGACCCAGCGCCCAAATTTGGCGGCAAAACATGTCCAGGAGCGGATACACAATTCCGAATGTGCAATATGATGGCGTGCCTTGATAGTAGGTGGAATTTGTACTTTCCTTTGCTTTAAATCAAGTGTTACTTAAAGAAAAGAAAATCTTTGCAAGTTGACTGCGGTCCCGAAAGAGAACTGAAAGCTCCTCTCAAACCAACAACTGTATTAGGATAGCCTTTCACCACGTTTGAGGTCTAAGTAAGAAAAGGACTTAAGCCTTTGCTTCCCGCAACAAAAAGACCTCTGATTTGAGTCCTGCATTCTGCATTCTAGTTAATTGTTTAAAGCATTCAGAACAATTCTTTTAACTGGCCAAGATTGAGTAAAATATTATTGCATTAAAAGCGCCATTAAAGAACCATTAAAAAGGGTGCTCTGTAAGTCACTAAATTATACAAAGAAATATTAACCTTAAAATAAGGCCATACGAATTGAAAATAAAGTGGTTTTTTGTAATATTTGGTCAAGGTATGTCGAGGATTGTAAGCTGTAGCAAAAATTTGCGGGCAATCCTGGACATGTGCGATTTAGTTTTAGGTACTTTTTCCTCTATGTTAGTAAATTTCAACGCTTATGACTGAAGATCGAAAGTAGGAAAGGCTAGTGATACGCGGCTTATCATTATGCTGCTGGTGGGCGGCGCCAATACCACTTTCACTATTATCCTATGATTTTTGTACTTGAATAGATGATTGTCACTAAATAACAGCTTGAGATATTTCTTAAGGTTGAATGAATCTGGCTTTAGGTGATTGATGTTTCTTAGTCTATCCAGTATGGACGCGGTCTGTGTTAGTGCTTTGCCTTGTTGTAAGATTTCAGTTTAATTTTACGTTGGTAAATTGACTTTTTTGAGAGAGCCGAATTTTTGTGCGCTTTTGAGCACTTTTGATGTCGACACTGACAAACCTTTTTCACTTCCTATTTGTTCTAGACTCAGTAGATTGCAATTTCGATCAAGATTATTGTCACTGGACAAATGCATGGAGCACCTCTCCGTCATTCAAATGGTACCGCCATAGGGGTCCCACCCCTAGTAGAAATACAGGACCAAACGGCGATCACGGTGGCAAAAATGGTGTGTTTTTATTTACGTTAGTGTTTCTTTTACACAGTCCAAAAACACTTCTCAATCTATGCTCATAAGTATTCTTTTTAGCTTAAAACGATATTATTTTTCCCTTCCATGAGAGCTTCGTTAGGCAGCCCACAATAGCAGAGAACAAACGTGAACCCAACATTTTGCGACGCGTTTTGGCGCAAGCTCAAATTTGTCATGCTTAAATTCATTTACCCGAAACATTCGATAATTGGACCTGAACTAATGAGAACAAACAGGCCGCTAGGAAACCCAAACACAGGCAGTGCTTGATGACATTTTAAGAGTAGGATAATAGGGCTACATGTAGAGCTTTACGGCTTCATGGTGTTAACTTGTCCTGGTTTAAGCGGACTGAGAAATTTTTCGTTATTTTTTGCCTAGGGTATTACCTATACATCGAGTCTTCGTACCCTGCGAGGTTTGGATATAAGTCTCAGTTGATGAGCGAATTATTCGAGCCAACTGAAGAGAGGTGTCTCAGCTGGTGGTACAGCATGCACGGAAGGACCGTGGGGACACTTAATGTATACCATATAAACAGCCGATCGGGGAATAAGACGAGAATTTGGTCAAAATCTGGAGAACAAGGAAAAGACTGGAAACAGACGCATATTTCATTCAGTTCCGACTCTAAATACAGAGTAAGTAAGGCATTCTGATTCTGGAAGCCCAAAATAGAAAACTAACAGAAAGATTAACGCCTAATAAAATAAGTGTTACTCAAAGGAGACTCTACTCTATAAAAACCTTAGTACGATGAACAAATCAATTTGCCGTACTGCCCAGAAGGCCGAACAGTTCACCACAGTTATTTGGATATCCAAGTCAGTCAGAAACCTCAGTATGACAGACAAACCCGTGAGGTGGATGTCCAGTTAGGCTACTCTTATGGTGGCAGGAGACACCCTAAACTGCCATTCATCACAGTAAAGGGGACAGTCTAGTTAGGTGGACAGTAAGACAGACACGATGGTAACATGGATAACCCAGACGTCAGTTGGACACCTCGTTATGGTGAACTATCCACTAAGGTGGGCGGCCCAACTTGCCGTGAATCTCAATAGGACAGATAGTTCAGTTAGGTTGACAGTATAAGACAGAAACCGCAATGAGTTAAACACCCCAGCCCCCTCATGTGGTTAACAGCCTCACTGCTAAGACGATACCCTCTCTTTAAACGAAAACCCCCATAAGGGTAGCCACCCATGGCCAGTCCATAAGGACACTTAAAACACTGAGATTTGCGTGCATCATCATCAGTGTGACAGGTGTTGAGTTAGTATTCATCTCAGTTTCTCATCAGACGACAAAAATGTAACATTTCTTGTTCCTTTTTTCTGTTTTCAGGTATTGTTTGAGGGATTACGTGGCCGAGGATACACGGGTGATATTGCTCTTGATGACATTCAGTTCAGAGAGGGCTCCTGCCTAAACAATGGATTCATCAAATTCTAATAGACGTAACTGAATTGTCTTTAAAGATATATTATGTACATATTCCGCATTACATAAATGCCTCCTAAACCCGCGCGAATAAGAATCATAAAGCGAATGTCAATTGCTTAGATGTCAGTAAATCTTTTATGCAGAACAGGCAGAATAATCAAGGTCCGAGGAAAAGAATGGGGAAATACCACTAATGTGAATAATATATATTATGTACCTACCAACTTCAGCTTAATGTTTTTTCTTTTTTCTTCGGTTTATACATTGTGTTCGTCTCGTTTCGTTTAGTTTTATTTTAATCATTTATTTTTCGTAGTACCGGAACATTTCAAATTATGTGAATTTAAGTTACTGCCATTCATAAAGCAGTTTCCACCACCTCGCAGTACATGCCATAAAAAAAAAAAGTTTTAACCTTTTCTTGTGTTCAGCACATGAAGCAAACATTTTTTCCCGTTAAGTTTCAAAGCAACAAACTATAAGCAGTTTATTACATCGTTTTTAAATCGGTCATCACAGGTCTTTCAATTTCTTTGCCTTCGAATGCTTAGTAGTTGCAAATATTTGCTCTTTTGAAATCGTTTTTTATTGGATAGATGTAGTTAGAAAATCATAGAATTAGAGAAATATCACTTATTCTCTTTTTTCCAAACTTTGTTAGTTAAATGTAAGTGGACAGTTTACCCTGGATGTTGTAGCCATTTGACGGAAATTTAGAAATATGGCAATTTGGTAGTTTTTCTGTATACCCCACGAAAAACTATTTCCTATTTTAATGCTATTTTTGCCTGCTCTGTATTTATTCCATCGTTTACCAATGGAAAGACTACATTTCTTCACTGATAGTCACATACTCTGTTTAATTGTCTTTACCAGTCAGAGTCATTTGTTTGTAGATTACCCATCATAGAATCGCTAGAGCGGTACAATATGTTTATCGGTGCAAACTTTTTAATCTATTAATTATCTCAATAACAAAATGCTCGAATCTGATTGGATCTTAACAGCCCGTAATCGGATACGTCCAATCGGAAATTTAAACAGCCAATGAAAATCAAGTCGCGTTTTACTGGACAAGGAAAATTGACGGCATAGCCCATGAACAGCGATAAGACTCAATGAAAAGATAATGAGTGAATAGGCTGTCAGGCTTCAGCTTGAAAAGAAAAATCGAGGAAATTAATGGTCCAGTGATATTTATTCTTCAATCTTTGACACATGTTAACCCCCTTAATTTAGAAAGTATTCGGACCTCGATTTACCAAAAATTGTAAGGAATGATTTTGCTTCGGAAGCTGTAAGTTTATGTAATAAGAACTTTGTACTTACATCAGCTAAGGGTTCCAATACTGAGATTCTCTCATTTTGTTATTGACACAGTCAACAAGTAATAGGACTTCGTGACGTACAATTCAGGGGTTTTCGGGCTCGTCATTTCATATCGGCCTCGATCAGCCGATTTGGAATTATTCGCCCGATTACTCCCTGAATTGTATGTCACTCTGTCCTATTACCATCAGTCCTATTACCATCACGTATCACTTACTATCATGTAGAAAAGATCTCTTCCGTCACCTCAAACACTCAAGGAAACCAAGGAAATCACCTGGCTGAAAGTGAAAGCTCGAAATTTATTTTCACTAAGGCTACGTAAAGCAGAATATGTTAGGGATGACGGAAGTAGACATGCCTCAGTAATTAGTTGATTAACCTTTTTAATGGAGGCCTTTCTTATTGACTATTTATAACTTTATTTATAGAAAAACATTATGTAAACAATTATTTATATGCTTTATTAAACGACGTTTGCACAGAAAACCAGCGGACTATAAAAGCGGCAATAAAATGTCCCATGTTCCCTCCTCCTGACAGACGTAATTTAAAAAAAAATTCACAACCCAGAAAAATTACGAGTAGATATTTGCGAGTTTCATCAGCATTGCCCGCCGGGGGTATAACCCATTTTTCGAGCAGATTTAATCTTATTAAGAGTTTTTTGTCCTAAATGAAGGTAAAAATGTTATAATCATGGGTACTTACCAAAAGTCAAGTTGGCCTAACCGGTAATTTTGAAAATGAAACAGGCTTTTTAGCCGAGAGTTTTCCTCATCCATCACTGCCGTGCGTACAAGTACAGTAAAGTCAGTGACAAAGTACAAGTAAAGTTAAGAGGCTGTCCGCGTAAGAACCGATAAGGCAAATTTCGGTCTATCACGGATTGCCCTGATTTTTCCAGTGGAAGATAACTATCCTATCCCATGAAGAAATATCACATTTATTTGGACCAACTCATTTTTTTTCTCTGTATTACAAGAAGATTTTCTCGGTCACCTAAAACTAGCCAGTTTGCCGTCGGAAGTGGTGCGATTTTAAGGAAACTTTAGGGCTCTTGCAAACCTACCTTACAAAGCCGAATAAGCTGATTATTTTACACCCAAATGTTTTAACTCTGATAAATAGTTTCAAGGTTTAATGGTTACATTCTGTGGAAAGTTGGCTGAGATATGATTTTTCTAAAATGACCTTTAATTTGCTTATCGGGAAAAGTAATTTGCATAACTAGAGCTGAACGGTAATTTCGCAAAAGTGGCACCTGACCCAGACTCAAGTCTATGATAAAACAGAAGTACTAAGACCAGTCTACTTCTTAATGCAATAAAATTTGTGGGCACTCCTCTTTGCGTGCTGTACAAAGTTCCGTTAATGTTCCAAAATTCACCATTTTGACAGCAAAGCTGGAATTGTAACGGTCTGCATCTGGTCGACTAATTTCCACAACTTTAACATATCTAGTTATCACTAACTGTCATTAGACCCTTTAAATGTTGGACTTTCGAAAACGTGTGAAGAAAACTTGGTAATCACTTTTTCTTGGTTTTTTTTTCTTGTCGACGATGAACGTGACTTCATTCTCCGTATGCAAATTAGCCTTAGATGCGTCGTTTCAACAAATTGACAGGAAATATAATACTCGTATTTCATATTTTTAAGGGAAAAATAACTCTTCTTTCTACGGAAAAACACGAACGATGTATGACTTAGAATCCCCCTTGGGTCTGTTTCTTTTACGAGGAAGAAGCAGCAGAAGAAGAAGGTTTACGCGAATTTAAAAAATAATTTAATTACTGTGGCTCGTCACGCATTCCGCCAGAGTGACCGTGTATCGATCATTTCTTTTATCTTATTATATCTTTTTTGAGGTGATAGATATTGATGATCATACAATTTAATCACTGTTAATTCCGATTCTTTACTGGGTGGGAAATACCGTGCTGTTGTATTTATTCATTCTACGACCGTTTTAACTGAGTCAGTCAGTCAGAGGGCGCCACTAGGATAGGGTTTAATATGACGGCCCATGGTGTAATACACGACAATCAACCAAAAAGTAGTCACTTGGAAGAAAAGAAAAAGGCATAGTTTTTTGTTTACGGTCCGTCTCCTGTTAAAACCCAAAAGTTTTTGCCGGCTGTTAATCACACTAAATTAAGGATCCCTATGTTGTCTATGTTTACTACTGAGCTGATGGAGAAAAGCACGTGCTCAGTGAATGAAAGACGAAAGTTTGTAAATTAGGTCTCCTTTTCTTTCCCTGGATTTGAATGGTATTTTAAAGTGACACAACTTATTTTTTTTAGCATTACTCAGGGCTGTAGCTAGGTTTTTAGTAACGAGGGGCATTATCGCGAGAGCCAAAGGCACGAGCCTTGTAGGGGGGTCTGGCGGTGTCCTCCCCTAGAAAAATTTTCAAATTTGGAGGCTCCGAAATGCTATTTTCAGCACTTGTCATGAGATATGTCTCCGAAAAATCAACCTCGAAGATGAAAATGGCAAACAATTGCAAGTCACTATAATCAACATAACTGAGTCTAAAGAAAACAAATCCATCCACAGACTTGATTTGTCTGGCTCAACAGGTCCAGGGGGGCCAGCTGCCCTTCGGCTCTGTTACCACGTTGAACTGGCTTGGTTGATCTTTCTTTGACATATACATAGGTTGAAAGCTTCTGATTGAGGGTGTTGTGGTCTCAATTATTCTTGAGCGATTTCTGCAACAAGCTTTTGCCTTTCGAACACCTCGTCTTCTTGCTGCAGATCTCTATAGTCAAGTTCAATGTATATTCAAGTTCATTACATTGGTTATTTCGTCCATTGCCTTATTGTAATTACACTTAGGACTATGTTTAGGTGTTGACTCAAACGGGCCTAGAGTCCAACATGGGCTGGCAATAGGTGAGCACGGAATTGGAATGGGGGTGGGGGGAACTCCCTATGATGGGCTATACGGGGAGGCTCCACCCGAGAGGGGTATCTTTTTCAGGCTTCAGGTATATGAAAGGGTACGCATTTCACTAGATGAAGTATATGAAAGGGCGAGTGCGCTTATTGCAGCCTTAGCAGCACCTTTGGCGGTTCTTAAAGGAAAAAGAACTAAGTGTAAGAATTTAAGGAAAAAGTAGAAGGACTTAATTTTTCAGGAATTAATATACAGAGGCAGGAGCCCAGATAGGCTCCTGACAGAGGAGAAATTTCACCCTTTAAGTATAAATGCTTGTAAAAGTAGAGGTGGAACCGGAGGGAGAGAGGGTGGATCGTAAAGTAGGTTGAAAATAAAGAGATGGGTGGAGCACTTTGATGGAGCACATTGTTCAAGAGGGTATAAATACAAAAAAAAAAACAGCAATCTGGAGGCATTTTTGAAGACTTAATGGAAACGTTATCAAAACAAGAAAAACAGAGAAATCTTGTCAAATAAACCTCTCCGGCAACGGTGTGGACATGGTTGCTGACTGCTCAATCGTACTCTTCTCGACCCTTTGGCGTCAAGTTTTTTCACGTTTCTTGCCACAGGAGGAACAAATCGGCTATATAAAGTTGAACTGAACACTCTGGTACTTTTAAGTCTCACTAATTTTTACAAAACCAGAGACATGTTTTAACACTGTTTAAGTTCAAAAAGATTGTTTTTATTGCAAGAATGAAATATTTTTCACATACGTCCCAAGGACATTCCTCTTAGAAAATGGCAGGGGCGGGAAAGCCCTGGGGACGAGGTTGAATCCTGACTCCGCGTAGAAAGTTCTTTCCTTTTTCCCCATTTACAATGCTCTTCAAACAATCATCAGAAAACTATCTTCTACAACACACGGATTAACCTTTATGTATAGTATTTTATAGGTGAGAATTGATTAGAGCAAGATACACGGCTTTCAAAAAATAGAAATAAATAAACTATCTTTGCAAGCTCAACTAAACTGGAAACGAACATCAGAAAACATCGCAAGATAAAATGTTAAATGGAGAAATAAGAATATCTCTGTACGTTTAGAAATTTTTTGGTTGAAGCAGAAAAAAGAATGATACTTACATGATGGAGCAAAACTTTGACTTATTTCCTGCCACAGTAGTTGTTTTGCCAGTATTATCCATAGTGTGACCGGGGTATTGACAAGACCTTAGGCTCGATTTCCGCCGTCTCCCAATCCCTTGGGGGCTCATTTTCCAGCACAGCGGCTTACAATCGAGCCTAACAAGACCTTGGCGCTCGCAAAAACCTGCCAAGTAGGTGTCTGTGCCTTGGGCAGATTGTCATGTTAGTGTTAGCCTGTGTACACACCACCCCCCGACCCCCTCGGAGAAGGGGCCCCTTCTCCGATTTTTCCTAAGGGAAGGACGGGGGGTCTGTACACAGGCTATTAGTGTCTGTGCCTTGGGCAGATTGTCATTTCAGTTCCGAATACCTACCAAACACTCGCTAAAATGAGTTCATTTAGTCATTGACTTTGCTACACTTAGGCAAGTGACAGCTGGCTAAGTGCGACGTAATATCATTCATGCACTCTGCGACCAACCCATTTCCCTCCACACCCCTACTGGGACCACACTCTGTCTTGACGATCTCGCGAAAAGAACAGCTCTTTTAACAATTGATCTCTTTGGCGATTTCATTGACATAATTATATTTGAAACTGGCACCTGTTGCATTATAATTCAATTAGATTGAAACCAAAACAAGATCATCTTGGGAATACGGATGTTATACCCTAACAAGAGCCCATAGGCTCCTGACCCTAACAAAAACTAAAAACTGAGATAATCCCTTTTCCCCTTTCATTCTGCTACCGTTGAATGCTTTAAAGATCTTTGAATGAAACTGAAATTTACAGCTAATTTGCCTTTTGCAAAGCTATACATGGATTTAGATAGAAAAAGTGTGGGGCATTTTTTTTAATCATAGTGCCGTGTACAAACATCTGATAAGCAAAAAAGAGTGCCCACAAATTTTTTTCATGGTGACAAGAGGACTTACCTTGCAAGTTAACTCTTATTTTTAATTATTATCATTAACTACCATTTAAAAAAAGATGATAATATAATAAAATTGATCGATTCAACGCTATTGTTTGCTAATCGACCGAACTTCGTTAGGAATGCGTGACAGGCCACAGTAATTGAATTATTTTAAGCCACACAAACGTATATCATGATATATTATTCAGCTGCTTCTTCCTCGTTAAACAAAAAAAAAAAAACAGACCTTAAGGGGATTCTAAGTGATGGTTCGTGTTTTTCTGTGGAAAGGAGAGTTATTTTTCTCCTTAGAAATATGAAATGTAAGGATTATGTTTCATGTCAAGTTGTTGAAACGACGCATCTAAGGCTAATTTGCATACGGAGAGTGAAGTCACGTTCATCGTCGACAAGAAAAAAAC